GGCTGGCTGGGGAATTCTGGGAGTTGAAGTCCACCCATCTTCAAGTCGCCTAGGTTGAGAAACTCTGGTTTAGCACATACTTCAACCAATATTGGCTTGCACATCCTAGACCTGTATCACTGGCCTCTCTCTACAGCCTGGGCACATCCTGTGAATATTAACTGATCACAAAGGCAACCGAAGTTCGTGGATTTTGGTCTTAGGCATTCCAAGGACAGCAGACTATTAGCAGACTTTTCCTTTACTGCGGCGTCACACGGATATGCCAAAATCTCAATCAAGATTTGCAGTAGACTTCCATGTATCAGTGCCTGGGCAGTGGTTTCCTATAATTAACATTTCTTTACTACATTCATCTCTTTTGTATAAAATCCGTGAAAGATGCTCCACATGGTGCAGATCGGTAAAATCTCCCGAAGAGTGAAACAAAGCTTGTTCAACTTTTTTTCCCCCCATGTCTGGGACAGAATAACATTGGAGTTGGCCCCACCCTATTTTTTTTTGCTAGAGGGAACGCCTCTCTTTGGCATGCAACATACCTACTCCGGCGGAGGCACGGCTGCCTGACAGAAGCACACCTCTGCGACCCCTAGTCTGAAAGATGCATACAGGCTTCAACCTGCGTGATGCCAAGCAGTTCCTTTCGAGGTTTAAGGATAATTGCATTGGTTGAGCGCGTCACTATATCTTGCACCCCTGAGCTTTCGTCATGAGGATATCCAAACTCTGCTTCTGGACAGAATATTTGCATCCTCCTTGTCTGTTCCTCTGAATTCTGGTTCTGCAGGAGATTGAACCTTCAATGCTTGTTGGGCATCGATGTCCCCATGGCCTCATCAGGTTTTGATAGGGTTTCCTTTCCCTGCTATGGGTTCCTCTCTCTCATGCTGTCCATCCTCTGTGCTGTTTTGATAGTCTCACATACTTCCCTTGTGCCTCTGATGGTTAAAGGCCCCTTGCTTTATTTGACTTTTTTTTTAATCCATTCAGTCATGTCCGATTCTCGGAGACTGCCTGGACCAGCCCCTGCAGTTTTCTTGGCAAGGTTTTTCAGAAGTGGTTTGCCCTTGCCTCCTTCCTAGGGCTGAGAGAAAGTGACTGGCCCAAGGTCACCCTAGGCTTTGTACCTAGGCAGGACTAGAACTCAGGGTCTCCCACTTTCTAGCCTGATGCCTTAACTACTACACCTTATTCTGGCCTTTTCAACCCAGCAGAGCTCAGGGCATGCAAGAGATATGTCCGATTCTCGGAGACTGCCTGGACCAGCCCCTGCAGTTTTCTTGGCAAGGTTTTTCAGAAGTGGTTTGCCCTTGCCTCCTTCCTAGGGCTGAGAGAAAGTGACTGGCCCAAGGTCACCCTAGGCTTTGTACCTAGGCAGGACTAGAACTCAGGGTCTCCCACTTTCTAGCCTGATGCCTTAACTACTACACCTTATTCTGTCCTTTTCAACCCAGCAGAGCTCAGGGCATGCAAGAGATGCAATTTCACATGGTCAACTGAAATAGGACCCTCTTCATACTATTTGTATATGATATTTCAAGTGGCTATCCCATAGTTTACAAAATAAATTCATTCCCATCCAATTGAAAACCCCGAACCCAGTTCAAACAGCAACATAAAAATAGCAGCTAAAACTTTTTTTAAAAAAAATCTTATACACATAATGAAATTCCCACTGCAGATTGAAAGAGAATAATGCAGGCATCTGGTGTACATAGCTAGGGAGAGTGCTCAGTGATTTGGGCACCACCAAAGGAAGGGCCTTTCTCTCAAGTAATTTCCTACTTTTTTTCTGAGTTGGAGATCCACGAGAAGAAGAACCTCTGAGAAAGATCTCAACTGACTGCCAAGCTTATGCTGAACAAGAGAATATTTTCAGCTGTCTAAGGGACTTCAGAGGTCAGTACCTCATTTCCAAAGGCAAACCAGAAGCAACTGCAGATGTTTCACCATTGTGGTCAGGATGTCTTCCACCCAGAAGATGTTCTTCTTAAGCTCTGTCAGCCTGCAGCGTTCCTCATAACGGACGTTTGTGGGTTTTACAAAGACAGCCCCTTATAGGATTCTTTACAATTGTATTGCGTGGATATTGCTTGAAGTTGGATAACTGGGGCCACTTTATTCCAGAGAAATTGTTCTTCTTCTGCCTTCTTTGCTTAAATCCAAGAAGAAAAAGCAACTCTTGAAATGGTTAAATTGATTGGAACAATGACACAGATGACTCAGAAGTAAACGATTTATCAGTTTATTGATTTGACATAATTGCCTCCCCGGTTAAAAGGAGACCTACAAATCATAAATCATTTTCAAAAAAATACTATTCTGAAATAATACTGTTAATAACAGCACTCTTGTGCTGAATTTCTGTATGTATGACCAGATACAGTACTTTTATTGAACTAGAGAAGCTTATTCTTCAACCGTGATAAATCTGAATCTTAGGAAATAATTTAATAAATTCTTTTAAATGTTCTTTTTACATCAGTAGACTGTTTTTCGGCATATGTTCAGTGAGTAATGGCAGATACTTTTATTTACAAAAGTAACTGGAAACTTTTAGAGGTCGAAACGGAAATGTCCTACCTGTGATAGAGTTCATACGAGAACAGGTTTCAGATCTTATCTCCTCAAGTTCTGTATCTCCACTCTTTGATAGCATTTTCCTTATAATACGTCTCTTATTATTTGTATAAAAATTGCCTACCTGTTATCTCTTTAGAAGGAACCCAAATTCTTGCCTGGGAAATACTCCTAATTCAAAATTTATGAAAGTGAACACAGTTGTTGCAATTCAGATATGACATTTTAGACTTAAGAATAAATACTGGTGGTTTTGTGGAACATTATCTGGAAGCCAGCTAAGAGGTTAGGTTCATACTGGAATTTTTTCTTCTCTCTAATACTGACTCAGTTTAAGTGGGAAAAGCCACACCTCTAGAATAAGACATGTTAGAAATGAGTAAGATTTTGGTGGAAATATGCAAATATTTTGAACTCGAGTGGCTTCAGATACAGGATATTGGCAACGTATAGATTTAAGTTGCATGAAGAATGAGTTTTGGGTTTCTTGTACAAAACATTGCATTGTCTTTTAACCTAGCAATGCTTAGTTTTGGAGAGAGAATGTCCCACTGGTGAATTTATATCCAGTGTTCGCAACCTGCAAGAAATCCAGTGGGAAGCCAAGATTTAGTTCCTCAGCCCAGGCTGGAACAATCCACAGACCTTGTCCTGTTTGCTCATCACAAGGGGAAGAGTTGGAAGAAATGAGAAGCTGTGCCTGTTGGGTTGATGGGAGTTACAACGTGGTCTCTCTGGAGAACACAGGTTGTGAAGCATGGCTTTCCCGCTCTTATGATAGAACAGTGGTTCTTAAACTGGGACAATGAGGGTGATTTGGACATCTCGTGGGGCTAATGGAGCAATTGGTAATGGTTTGTGAGTTGAGCATCCAGTTTGGGACACTTGTGTAAAACAACGGAGTCTGGGTTTTTTTGTGGGGTTAATGATATTATTTGAGACCGGGAAAAGGGGTAATTGGGTCAAATGGTTTAAGAACTGCTGTGATAGAAGAATGGTTAAATATCACCCCTCTAAAGCAGTGTTTCTCCACTGTGGCAACTTGAAGATATGTGGACTTCAACTCCCAGAATTCCCCAGCCAGCCATGCATGGCTG